TTAAAATTTTGTGGTTTAATGAATCCCGCGCGGGATTTTTGGAGAAACCGCGATTTGCCCATCTCTAGGTACTATATCCCGTGAAATTACATATATTGTAAATTTGTAAAATGTAATTTTTAACCTTAAGTGAAATATGTTCCTGTGTTAATTTTACCATCACACAGACCCAAACCTTAAACAATTAAAAAATTAAATTCCGGCCAAAATTTTGTCGATCACAGTCGTTGGAAATAGGGATGGGCAATGTAATTTTTTATGTAATCAGTATGTATTTTTTAATCGTTACATAACTTATATAATATTACATATATATTACATAATTTTTAAAGAAATCGATCCCAAAAAAATAAATAAAAAGTTTAATTTATCGATACCCAATATATATATAAATAAATAAAATATTGATATTATTTTAAGCTAATAAAATATTACCAAAAATGTCAAATTGGCCTTTACCAAATTCACAAATTCGACATTTTCTTCGTGAACTTCCAAAAGGTTCTACTGGTCACCCATTAGGTCCTCTTTGGCAAGCATTTGATCCAGTAAAGACTGACAAAAGGCTTAAAGCAAAATGTATTTTTTGTAATTCTGCTAATGCTAAGCCTATATCTGGCACTGGGTCAATCATGAGTTCACATATTAAAAAATATATAAAGATTCTTTTAGAAGTTCAAAACTATCTTATTGGTGCTTATACAATTCAACAACAAAAAAATTCTAATGCTAATAATTTGAATATATAAAATCAACAAGATATTCAATCAGATACATCAATTACACCTTCAATGTCAATTTCAAATTGTAGAGCTATTACAATTTCTAATAATAATAATCAAGCATTTATGCTATTGGATATAAAAAAGTCCAATCAACTATTATTAGAAGTTATAATTGAAGGTAAAGTGCTACTTACTTTTGTAGATTCTCAAAAATTTAGAGAGTTTGTTTATTTTATAAATAATACATATCATGTTCTAGCAAGAAAATAACTTTCTAATAATATTCTTGATAAGGTTTATTCAAATATTCAAACATCTATTAATCAATTTATATGTAAATCAAATTGGATAACTATTGCAACTGACAGGTGGACTAATATTCAGCAAGATCATCTTATAAATTTTATGGTTATTGGAAAAGATAGATAATCAAAACTTATTAAGATTAAAGATATTCATAGAAAAAGTCAAACAGTAATATTTATTTTTAGAGATTTGGAAAATGTTTTGTTACAAATTGGAATTGAAAAAATCAATGTTATTGTTACAGATGGTGTTGCAAATTATATACGTATGAAAATTATACTTGCACAAGTATGTAATTTTTTTTATTTAATATTTTGAGAAAATACTACTTATAGTTATATTATAAAATTTTAAATTATTTAGAAATATTCAGGAATTTTAGCTATATCATGTAATGTGTATAAATCAAATCTATTAGTTGGTGATATGTTAAAGCATTCATATATGAAAACTACAATTAGTTCTGTTATAAAAATAATTTTATATATATGAAAGAATCCTCAAGCAATTGAATATATTCGAGCACATACCTGTAATAATACTTTTCGATTTTCACTTCCAACTCCTACAAGGTGGAACTCATTCTTTGTATCTTTACAACAAGTACAAAATAAAAAACAATACTTAAAGGTTTGTTATATTAATTTAATACATATAAATTTTTTTATAAAAATTAAATATATTTTAAACTTTTAAGGATATGGCTTATGAAATCAGATTACAGTTAAATGAATCTATTATTTTAATTCTTAAAAATAATATTTTTTGGGATCATTTAAGAATTATTATTTGAATATTAGAACTATATTTATTAATTCCAATTATATTAGAATCTCAATATGCAACACTTACTAATACTGTATATTTATAGGGACAATTACAATTTATTATTAATATAATTGAAAATATAGATTTTCAAGATTATATAAATACATAAATTCAGCATCAATGGAATCGAATATATAGTTCAATTTTTATTATTTGTTGATCTTTTTATCTAAAATATTTCCTTTCAAGAACTATTTAGTCAAAACTTACAACAATTATTAAAAAAGAAGCCAGTATTTTATTTGAATGTCTATTTCCTAATAAGAATGTAAAAAAATTTTGGATGCAATTAATTGATTAAAATAATAAAGCATATCTATTTGATTTTAATAGTAATTGGGATGACTATTTAGTTGAAAATCCTGTATATTTTTGGAATAATTTTTATAATGAAGTACCAAAATTAGCTATATTTGTTGTATGAGTTATGTCAATACTACCTACTTCAGCTGAAAGTGAAAGATTTTGGTCATTAATAGCAAATATTCATTCATTACAACATAACAGATTAACAAATAATCATGCAACAAAATTAATATATATTCATAGCATATTGCTCAAGATAGAAATAATATTACTAAAAATAAAAAAGAAATCATCAATTTTGAACAAATTTCTCAATAAGTGGATTATAGTAGTTCTAATAATAATAAAACAACTTCATCAAATATCTCATTTGATGATACTGAGATTAATGAGTTTAATTTGAAAGAACAATTTGAAAATTCAGAAGAGTAATTTGAAAATTAGAGAAGCATATTATGGAAATACTTGAAAATATAGATAATTTCAATACTAATAATTAAATTTTTTATAATGAAGCTATTAATGAATATAATATTCAATCTTCTATTTAAAACACAAATAATAATTATAAATCAGCTTTAGAGAATTTGTTACTTCTTGAAAAATTTGATAGTATTTAATTATTTAATTGTAATTTTTGATAAATAAAATTTTGATTAACATTAGCACTAGTTAAATTTTTTGGTAAATAAAATTTTAATCAGTATTAGCAGTAGTTAAATTTAAATAAATGATGTAATTTCCTATTATTACCTATTGCAGCAAAAATTTAAGTAATATTACATAAGAATATGTAAAGCATATATAAAAAATTTGTCCATCCCTAGTTGGAAAATCAAAATTGAAGTTCAATTGCATGGCACCTAGATTTAATAAATCCCGCATATGATTTTTTAAAAAACTGCAATTTGTCTATCTCTAACCTTTAGTGTTGATTAATGATTACTATATTTCACAAGCTAAACCACCTTTTTTCTATTGAATTATATAAATATTTACATATTTTATCTAGTAATTATTTTACAGAGAATAGTTTAGTCTGTAAAATACAGTAATTTCTATAATTAATTAACAATAAATTCAATTTTCGAAAGCCTACAGTTACCAATTTGTAATACAAAAAATAATAAAGAAAATAAGATAATTTTAATAGATTTAAGTGACGAAAAAGGAAAACCTGTAAATCATTTTACTCATTAAGTGACATGATTTACAGGTTTTCTCTTTTTGTCACTCATTTCATATATATGTACTTTATTATATCAAATAAAATAAAATATACATCTATACTTATATATTAATAAGTATATAGCAGACCCAAATTTTAGTAAGCATAAAGAAATATCTGAGTTTTTTTAAATATAATAATTATTTTATATAATAGTAAAGGTTTTATATTTCTGTCTAAAAGTATTTTTTTTATACATAAATAGTCTTATCTTTTTTTGCTTTTGTTTAAAAGTATTTATATTGGATAATACAAAAAATATAATCTAATCAAGTCTTTTAAAGCTTATTATTATTAAATTTTTAAGTTATTACATTTTTAATAATATTCTAATGAAAAAATAAAAAAACTTTGTACTTTTGACTCATAATAATATTAAACTAAATAATAACAAATTATAATATTACTTTTACTTTTAACTATCTTTTTTGATATTAAAATAACTTTTTTGGTCTTTTAATTTTATTTTTTTTTTTTTTTATATTTAAAGTCTCTATCTTGAGAATGCAATGTTTTTATTTAAGTATATTAGAACATAGTATGCCACCAGAGATTCACCTTATATTGGAAGTTACAACTAGTCATATATACACTTTTGGTGCCTAATTTAAGTAGTCTGCTTATACATTGCTATATAAGTTTTACACTAGTTGCTATATCTGTAAGCCGACTAGAGGTCTTGCTTATTTAAACCCTCTGCATATGCAATTCTTCTTGTATCACAAGAACATCTTAAGGTTACACTCATCCAAGTTCTCAATGCTTGTTGTTATTCTTAGGATTAGTTTATTCTCAACAGGAAACTTACTAAAGCCTTTATGTCCTACATATATAAACATAGTTTTATACAATATGTTATAGTTATCTAACACTTGCAGTTATAGAGATTACCTATTTAACTGCTATATTATACTATTTTTACCTTTGTAAAGTTTACTAGAACCCTAGTATCTATCTTTCTAGCATTTTCCTCATTATTCTTTACTAGTCACAACTCAGAACTGTCAGTCTTATCCTAGACTACCAATTCAAATAGTCTGATATAATATACTTCTGTATCCTTTTCCTCCAGTGAATCCAGTGGCCTGATTGGTTATATGCTCCTCTACACATATTTGATATTTGATTTTAATCTTCAGTTCTTATGAAGGTGTTTCATAGGCTTTAACCAGTCTGATGATACTATCAAAATTTCATGTTATCTCTTTATTCGGAAATTTTTAAGTAAGTTTTCATCATCTTAGTTCCTTAGTCTTCTATGCTTTATGGTCTTATTGTAAGTTTGCACTGAAGTCTTATACAATACCAGTTATACATTTCTATATATATATATAATGTTATACTTCACATAGGTACTTGAGCTCCCAATGTCAGTAGAACCTGACTTGATGTACCTGGGTTATAGCCACATAAGGCCAACCGATTAACAGAAGACAGTTACTGTAATACAGATATAATTTCCAAATTTTATCATAAGTAGGATTTGAACCTTAGACTTGCTACTTGGAGGATGAAAACCTAACCACTATACTAGGATTGCCATCCTCTGTCTTTTGACTTTATTAACACTTTTTAAATAACATAGTTCTATAGAAACTATTATAAAAAGAGTATACAACTAGATATATATATAATTTTTTTATATTGTCTATTTAAGAAGTTTATTTAAGAGTTCCTTACTAGTTGTTATACTTAATATTTTCATTTAGATGTTTTATTTAAACTTTCTAAATCTATAATTTATATCAACTTCACTAAGTTATCTCAAATCCTCATCTCAAGCTTAAAACTAATTTATTTTTAAGTTAAATCTTTTAGAACCTTCTGTATTTCTATTACAATTGAATTGGATTTACTATGACTAAACCAATACTTGCAATCAAAGCTAACTATTAAATTATTATATTCTTATAAAGTTCATACAACTTTAATACCTACTTTTACAATCTCACTGATGTTTTATCTATTCTTGTAAGTTCTTTTATACTACCAATTCAGTAAGTTCTGCATAATATAACTTTATTTCAGATTAACTAATAGTCAGATTAGTAAACTTTTTTTATCTAAAGGTTTTTGTTTATATAAGTAATCTGCTTTAGATTTTTTTTTCTAAATTAAAATTTTTACAGATAGTATCATTAAAGATTGTACTACCTCTCTACTTGAAATTATCAAACAGAACTTCTTATAAAGTATATACTTTTTAGATTTATTTGTATAAAATTGCATACTCTTAAAGTTAGTCTTGATATAATCAAAATTATAAAGTTACAATCTCAGATATTTTGTTCAAGTTGTCAGAATAGAATCTTTTTTTTTAAAAATTCTGCCATCAGTAGAATTTGATCTTTGAACTTATTGTTTGAAGAATAACAACTCAATTACTACACTATATTCTCTATTCTCTTCTTTATCTATATTTAATTATATAGTATTTCTTTAGTTTTAATATAAATTATATTTATTAATATATACAATTTTAAGTATAAGTATATCTTAATAATAAGCTATAAGTTATATTGTTACATAAATATATATATACTAGTAATACAAATATATTGCAACCAAATTATTGATATAACCTGATACAGATTTCTTGATTGCAAAAAAAACAATAATTTAAATTTAATATAAATAACTAAAAAATTCAAGTACTTTAAAATATTTATAAAAATTATATAAATCTGTTTTATAATCTTTACTATCTTTTTTATTATCTTCTTCAGAAATTCTCTTAATACAAAATAAATATCTAACACTATATATTAAAATTAATTTATAAATCTTTATAAAAAAAATTACTATTTCTTAATCTAACTAACTTATACTTTTATGCAAATATCTTTATACTTATTTTATAAACACAAAATATTTTTATTAATATTGTCTAGATTTTTAAAAATGATATACAAATTAAATTTAATAATTCTATAACTTATGCACTAAACTCTATATAAGCAGAACTAGTAATATTCATTTTCTTGTTTCTTATTCTATTTACTAATTATTAAAATTATATTTATCTTAACTGCTTATTTATTTATTTAAATTTTTACTAACTTAATACCTTAAAATTATAATTCTAAACTAAACAAAATAATTAAAATATTATTTATATTCTAAATTATTTAATTAAACTTAAAAAATATTAATTATATTATACACAAAGTTAAATTATATTTAAACAATACTTTATATTATAGTTAATACTTTAGCTAAACAAAATACTAAAAAAAACTTAAAGTGACAGGTCTAGTATTCAAATCCCATGGATAGTGAAATTTGAATAATTATATCTTTATTATGATAACTGTTTCTTATTAATTAATTGGACAGAAGAGAAGATCTGTAATCTTAAAGGCATCATTTT